CGGTGAAAAGACGAGATAAACAAGACATAAATAATACTTAAAACACTGTAGAATCGTTGAGCAAATTCGCATTAACTAGAGCATTAATCAACCAATCACATACACAATTCGACACTCAACTAACTTTGCTATTCAACAATTGTCAGATAACGTCACCTTTTTCCTATGCTAATTTCAAAACCGCTTCCTACCATAATCATATATTCTCACTTTACAGAATTTACATATTCGTTCAGATTCATTAAAAAATCCAAAAAGGGAATGACTCCTTATGCAAATTCTCATTTTACAGAACTTACATATTCGTTCAGATTCAATGAAAAACCCAAATAGGGATCTTTCTGAATCTATGGGCCTGTTCCCATTCGGATAACAATAATAATGAAAACAATAACAATAATGACATTATTGATAACAACAACAACAACGATAAAAGTTGGCCATATTCAACTTGTCTCTACGAAAAAAATTACTCGAAAAACGAACGTGTTCTGCAAGTGAGTCAACTGTTCATTTAAGGTTGTGATCTGATCGTTGTCGATCCACTGCTCCTTCATCAGCTCCGATAAAGCGTTCTCCTTCTCCTTCAGTTTCGCATTCAGTGCATCAACCGTCTTCTTACTCGTCTCTTGTTCGCATCGCAATTTACTCAGTTCTTCTCCTTGCTTCATCTCAAACGAATAAACTCTCTCTCTCTCAATCAAATCAAAATCAAATGGAAAAATTCAAATGAGTCAATAATACTATTACTAGTAATAATTAATAATAATGATAATAATAATAAACAATAATGACAATAAATATGATAATATAATAACTACTGATAATAATAGATTAATAATAATAACAAAACCATCACTATAGCAACAACCATAATAATAACACAACAACAACAATAAAAATTACAATAGTGTTCTGCGATTGTTTGCGTTCATTATTCAATTCCCCGCTGACATCTTTAAGACGAGACTCGAATTCAGCTAATTTCTTTGCGTTGGTTTTGATCGATGCCTCTAGCTTTTCGCTGAGTTGATCTCTTTCCGATGAAACCCTCTCAAAATCCTAAATTGTTTTCAAATGTTCACCTTCTCAACATAGATTACGCATTCCATCCCAACTCAACTTTATCACCTCTCAATAACACTAGGTTTGATGCTTTCAAAAAGTGAACAATATGAAAATTTGTATTCGACGGAACATCTGTCAAAAAGTTTCGATGTGCTAATAGCAAAGTTAAAGGTACATTACTTACCAACCGGTATAATCAATCAAAACACTGCTTAATCACTACTGAAATAAAAACAATGTGATGCAACTTGAATGGCCAGGTTTCCAACTAACTTTTTTCAACTGATTCACAATGGATTCATGTTCAGTGATGAGTGCGTTGATTTGCTCTTTGTACTGCATATCTTTCGATAGTAAATTGGCATTCATCTCGTTCAGTTCCTGCTTATACTCGCTCTGCTTCTCTTCTAACGATGTTAATAATTGCAATTTCTCCTGAATCCGATTTCAATGAACATTAAGAAATATAGATCAAAATGTGATCAAAATGCTTGTGAGATCAACAATCAAACGGAATGCAACAATGAACTGATGACAATACCGCAGTCAACTGCTCAACCAAGGCACCGAGACTATCGTTCTTACGGTCGTGCTCCATTACAGCAGCCACTTTCTGCATCTCACGTTCCTCGATCGCCAACAAATTCTGCTCTTCTTGCTCTTTGAATCTGGCTTGCCATTTCGATTCCTTCATCAAATTCAGTGATTATTCACTATTAATATACTACTACCAATATAATCTCACCTGTTTTTTCAATTCGTCCTCAAGTTTTTGCTCGTAATTGCGCTGGTCTTCGGCACGTTTCCGCTCCATTTCCTCGACGATTTCCTTTCTCTTGCGCTCTTCGTCCTCCCGAATCGCCTTCACACCTTGTTGCTTTGCTTCTGACAATTTCAATACCATATCCGACTTCTCGTTCTCTAATGCCTCGATTGTTGATTTCAGTTCATCGATTTGATGTTGTGAATCTGATCCTAAATAAAGCATCATTCCTAATTAACAATAATATCATTATTACAGATACGGCTTNAAGACTTATTATGAGATAATGTGTAACCTTGCGATTCGAGTTGTTTGTATTTCGTTCGAATGTTCTGTATCTCCAGCTCCTTATCTTCCAATGCGTTATGCATCTCGGCTTTCACCTTCGCTATCGCCAACGTTGCTCTAAACTCAGTCACCGATGAAATCATTATTTATTTTCTTCACACTTATAATCATTACTTCCTATCATTACCACTAAAATGCATTGTCTATAATAAAAAGCATTAGTCCACCAAATAAAATCCCCACGATTATAATTCAAGCAGTTTGCAAATTTCTTCTCTCAGATACACTCCTAAAGGAATGAATCAAAATTATCACTATTATCCAGTATCACACGAACGAACGAGCCAACGTTTGTACATCAACGCAATCAGCAATGCAATGAAAGCAAATGAATACTTTTCTTCCGAATCCTGTAATCGTTTCGTCCACTCAGCATCCAGATAATCCACACGGCCTTTCCACTCAGAAGTAACCCGTTGCACTGCCAGATCACTTATTCCTTGCTGAATATAATTACT